ATCATATAAGCCATTATCTGTCCACTGCTGAACATAGAATTCCCCTATAAACTGCTATAAGGAACAGGTCCCAAGTATCTGCATCTTTTGACTCGTATAGTTCAGTCTTCACGAAGTCAAAGTGTCCTGATCAGTTGATTATAATTGTTTTGTTAATTCCGCTATTATTATTATTAACCAGTGATATGGACTTCTGCAAAGAAACACCTAGTTCAGTAAAATATTTACGAAATATGTTCGTTATATTCCCCTAAATTCTTTTTTCCTAGCTCTCAGTCTACGTTCTTGTTCTTGTCATCTGAGATGTCGTCATTCAAAATCTTGTCAATAAGTTATAGACGGAAACTGAGAGTCCCAAAATCTTAACCTAAACCAATAAGTTGTTAATGATTTATAAGGTATTTCAAATTCTCCTCCAAATAAATGAATGGCTGACATATTGAAAGGAAACATCAATTACTATCGCAATATTCAATTTGTGTCTCAAGTAATTATGTCTAGAAAATAATGCATAATTAATGCGAGTAGTAAATGTAAGTACCTAATATGCTATGTCTATAATTATTATAATCTATGTCGCGTCTTCAGGGTTGCCCTCGGATTTTGCAGAATTTTCCAAATCGGATTTTAAATAACGGAATTGTAAGGTAACAAACATAGATAAAAATACAATCGATTTGAGAACCTCGGTCTTGTTTGAAGTAGGTTAAAAAATATGCTGCACATCGTCCAGTAAGAAATGTAATGTTGGATTTTTATTTTATATAATAGCAATCTAAATATTCGTCTTAGGGTTGTCTCTGTATAAAATGCCTTATAATAAATTAGTATATAACCTGAATATCGAAGGAAAGGCTATAAATTATAAAATAGCCAGTTTTTCATTTTAAGGTATTGATTATCGTACTGTAACACTAGGTGGTATTAAGTCAGACTTAATGTTTTAATATCTCTCACCATAGCACTTTATATGAAATTTAGTTAAATAATTGAAATTCTCGTAGATGCTATTTCAAAATGTATAAATATATGTATATTTTTGTGATTTTAAGACAAAAATGGGTGTTACAACATCATAACATCATTCCAGGTATTTACTGCTGTTGAATCTACAATATATCTTTGCTATATGTTGCAGACTGGCACAAGAAGCAGTCTTGAGCCATCTGCCACGTTATTATAGCCCTTTCAGACCTGAACGATACGGGCGTGAGTTGTAACTTTAAAAAGTTCTAAAACCGCGCGCAATTCATTTTTACGCACGAAGCTGAAATAACATGATAATGAGATTCTAAACCAAAAACTCACGCCAATAAGGAATCATTTTACGCGGTTAGGTGGTCGACGTAGTCCATCGTGTGTGGCCGGCAAGATGGCTTGGCTCTCAAAACACGAAAATATATTTCATCTGAAAGAAAAAAAATCTTGGGTCTGAAACGGATATATCTGAAACTATGGTATATTGAGTCACCATTTTATCTATATGTTTTTGGTCTTAATAACTATAAAAATTTTATGCAACCCTAATAGTATTCATTTCCTACCAACCTATTCCATCTGATGAATATTAAAATGTTCCTCTTTAATGATTTTTATCTCGATTCGATTGTCTCCCGGACCAGATTACGTATTTTCCTCATAATCAACATTGGCTCGATTAGTTGGAAATGCTTTTTAAATTCTTTAGGTATAAAAAGTAGAAACGATTTTATTGATAGAATGAATGAATGACTGAGTATTTTAATGAATGGATGAACATTTATTTGAGTACATCTTTATTCAAATAGACAAGCTATTTCTAAATATCATTTGTTTAAATCTACTGCAGGTCATAGTGCTTTCTGCTGGCAGCGCTGTATGCTTTTTAACAGTCGTAATGCAAATGATTTAACTCATACTTAATACCTATATCAGGGCGGAAAGGGATTGTTAGTAATGGGGTCTAACTGACCCATTGTTAGCAATACCCCCTATCAGGTCGACCTTCACACAGTTCCGCCTGGAAAACATCGTGGTTAATTCTAGTGGTATTAATCACGATGAGCCAACTATCCTACTTTTATTGTTACCTATGGTACCCCGTATGTATACCGATGACGCAGGTGGAGTTACCATTCCATTATCAACCATTAAAAAATAAATATATTAATAATAAGTGCTATACAAACACAACAATTATGATATAATTAGTTATATTATTTAAATACATACGTAAATACATAAATACATGTTATAATACGAACTGTTTTTTTTTTTTTTTTTAATTTATATATATATATATATATATATATATATATATATATATATATATATATATATATATAGTGTGTAGTTTCGTTGTTATAATTCTTAATATATGATTTTTTTTAACCCCTGTGTGGGTGTTGTCGCATATTTCTGTAGAATAAAGTTTTTTTTCTTTCTTTCTTTCAAATATTAGTCTAGACTCTAGATAATGCTCAAATCATAATAAAATTACATAACTGTACAAAAACGTTAATTAAAATAATTACACATTTAACATGTCAAAATTTAATTATATAAATAGTAACGTCATCATATAAGCCATAAAATGTCCATTGCCTTCTCCATAAGGAGAGTTTTGCCAGTAGTTGCCACGCGTGGCAACTGCAGTTAGGTTTTAGTAGATGTTTTAGGAGGGTCGCTACTGCCCTTTTGCCCTCCCTCAGTCGCCTTTTACGACACCCACAGGAAATGAAGGGATGGTCTATTCTATGCCGGGACCACACGGTCATATAAAAAGTATATTAATGGTCATTTAATAGTCGTGTTTGTAAATAAAATATTCCTTTAGAGAGTAAAACTGTGAATTGTTAATTGTATTTTATATTATCGGTGTTTTTTTTTAATTGACGGTAATGGAATGGTAACCCCACCCGCTCTATCGGTATACACCGGCGGTGCTCCAGTGAAGGATGATAGGTGAGGTGATAGGTGAGAATAGGTCAGTTAGCCCATCGTGACGAATTCGACAAGAATTGTTCACGATGGTTTCCAGGGGGATCCACGTGGAGGTAGAGCTAATAGGGTATATTGCTAGCAATGGGGCTGTCAAACTCCATTGCTAACAATCCCTTTCCCCCCAATATATTTATTGGTGTTGGTTGATTGTGTTGATTTTAAAAATAACCAGCTTTTACTTTTTTTTTATATAACTTAGAATGGCAAACAAGCTGACGGTCCACCTGATGGAAAGTGGTAACCGTCGCCTATAGACATGAGCAGTACCATCGACATAACAGAGTATACTGTTTCGCCCATGATACCCCCCATGCGTTGCCATTCCTGAGGACTCAGGTGTTATTACTCTGTACCCAATAAATTCACGCCATACCCACCCTTCAAACCGAAACACAGTCATGCAAACACAACCGGTTCACGGTTGAAACACGAATGCACGAATGACAGAGGTACCCAAGCAATCGACTTTTGTACAAAGTCTCCCTCTGGTACACGCGAATTCGTCCGCCTGATCAGGATATTGTTTATTGATCGGAATATCAAGTAACCTCTCTATATCAATTTACCTATATCAAAGTTCATAACGATTGACTAAATTTACTAAACGATTAAAACGCCAAAATTCCCGTGTGCGTTAACGGTATACCAGTGAAGTAAGATTTTATCACACCCTAGGCACCATCATGATCCGCCGCCTGACCAGGAATTTAGCACGGTGGTTTCCAGTTGGGACCACATGGAGGTCGACCTGGCATATTGCTAGCAATGGGGCTGGTAGTCCGCATTATTAATAATCCCATCCCCCTTATGCTAAGTCGATTTAAGTTTCTTCGCTGATTAAACAAACAAATGTAACAACGCCCAATGATATTAGCAAGCTTGAGATAAACAAAGTGGCTCAGAACAATTCGTTATGGCACGTAAATATTTAGATAGCTCGCGAATAATTTAGCGAAGCCATTAGACTTGGCAACTTAAATCAACTCGTATGTAACATGAGCAAACCCACACCACATTTCTGTAGATTAAAAATTTACACCAAACTTTTATTCGGTCGGAATCTCGACTTGGGCCGGGAGAGACTTCGGAACTCGGTTTCGCGCCTCGGCTTTTCACTTCCATATTTTTTCATTTCTCTTTTAAAAGTTAAAGCGTCTAACAACACGGTCTTTCGAGCGTTGTAAGTAATTAAACTATCTCATTTACAAAGGAGCTAACATTTTTTTTTTTTAAGTAATCGTTTAATGCATAATGAAGCAGATGGTTTATCTGCAATATACAAAGTAACAAGTTTAATTTTACTTTAGTTTACTTTGACAACGCATTAATCACTCGCGTGTCTGCCTATACGTCCGTCTGTCACAGCCCATTTGCACCGAAACTACTAGAGTGACTGAGTTGAAATTTGATAGACATATGTAAGTCGATGATTCGAAGACGAACATGTAGCAATAAAAACAAAATCGTATGATATATCAAATGAAAGGGCTTGTTGTGAGAATTTCAAATATATGTATAATAAATAGTAAAAGAAAAATATTTTTTATGTTCCATTTATTTTTTTAATGGGTGAAAATGGCATGGTAACCCCGCCTGCGCTACCACTATACACTGGCGGGATACCAGTGAGAGGTGATAGGTGAGAATGAAAAGGCAGGTCAGTTAGCCCATCGTGACTAATTCTACGATAAATTAGCCATGATAGTTTCCAGAGCGAACCGCGTGAAGGTCGACCTGATAGCAATGGGGACTAACCTCCCCATTACTAACAATCCATTCCCCCCTATTAAGTATACATTATTTATTGTATATAGATGTACATTATTAACTGGTATTAGTTCTAATTATCCTAATAAATAGAAGTACCGATTTCGTGATTCACTGTTCATTCCAAAGGTTGACTGGTAGATATTGCTACTAGTATAAGCCCGCTTTTTGCATCATATTTTGTTTTGATCAATAAAGTTATTTAAATAAATGAATAAAAGATATTTCAACTTCCATTCTTTTTTTTCCAGATGTCGCCGCAACACCTCATTAAAATGTAGCTGAGGTTTCGAGCAGAGAATCGTAGTGCGCAATGGCAAACTTTCGATGCAGTGTGGCGATGGGGAAACAAGATTCGAGCTGGAAAAGAGTGAGGATCAATGTGCCAAGTGCAGTGTGGTGTTTGGTGTTTGTGATAGTGTTTGGCCAATGTGCCGGTGGTAAGCAGATGAGTGAGACGCTGCAGAGGGCGCTGTCGGCGGTACGAGGACCGAGTCCTGGGGCAAAGAAGCTGCTCAATATACCAGAGGATGGAGGTGTGTATACAGTTTTATACCATGATGATAATGATCAAAATATACATGGTGTTACTATTTCAGATATTAACACTAGAAATAAGTGGAAAATTAATACACTAATGCAATTCAATTCTAACGATTGTACTTACTTTTAACCGACTTAGAAAAGAGGTTCTCAGTTCGGTTGTATTTTGTCTGTTTGTTACCTCATAACCACGTCAATTTTAAACCGATTTGGAAAGATATACTTGTTAATATATCCTTTATTTTTTCCTTACATTGGTCCTATTATAATATTATCAAAAGCAATTCAGTAGTTTAATTTTTAGTTCAAAATAAATGGTTTTTGTCACAGTTGAAGTCGGTTTTTTTTCGTGGGACACGACATTTAATTGTAATAATTATGAACATTGGTCTAATAGAAAATTTATTTTCTAAAATCATTAAACTTTGTCATTTAAAAGCAGGCATAAAGTCTGTTCTTGGCATTCCCTCTATGTATGATTTTAAACACCTTATATTCCGTAGCATTTATTTATATCAGCCGTTGACTGTCCACTACTGGACATAGGCCTGACCCATAAAGGGAAGTTCATAGAATGGGCCACCCCTTCCTTTTCCGTGGGTGTCGTAAAAGGCGACTAATGGACCGTGAGGGGTGTGCAGCAGCGTCCCTCTTAAAACATCTCTAAAAGCCTAACTGCGGTTGCCTACCCGCCTGCCAAGTGTGGCAACTACTGGCGAAACTCCCCTTATGGGGAAGGCTTATGCCCAGCAGTGGACAGTTAACGGCCGAAATAATAATAATAAAATTACTCGTAGGTGGTCGTATTACGAAAAATCTCAAAAAATGTCCTCAAAGTTGCCAGTAACTCTCGAGAATATTCGAGGAGCCCTTTTAATTACTACTTAGACATACTTAGTAATTTTGATTTGTGTCATTATAAAGGAGTTAGAGAGGCCCGTTAGAAAGTTTCGCCAACTCAATGAATCCGCTCGAATCTCCGCCAACTTGTGAACTTGGGAGGTCCTTATTAATTAAGGATTCCAACGATTACAGCCTCAGGTGGATTTGTGAAGGCTCACGGTTGCCTTTTAAAGGGAAAACTTTTTGATGCACTTTTAAAGATAAGCAGAGGCTTACCCCGCGTCTTTGTCTGCACGGTTGTGTTGTCTTCCGCTCCCTCGGGTACTTCTAAATTTATTCTTTATGGAAACTTTTCTACAGAGTTACCTGAAGTTTCAGTTTGGACTGTTTGTCAATTTCCTATTTTCAACCGACTTCAAAAAAGAAGGTTCGCGATTCGGTTAAATTTTTCATGTTGGAATGACTTGGATAATTATTTTTTATCTGAAGGAATATACTTTCAAAATGGTCCCATAAAAATGTTATCAAAATGGGTTCTGTAATTTAGGTTTTAAATGAAAATAATTGATTTTGCCACACAGTAGTTTTTGCATGATGCCAGAACAAACCCACAGACAGACAGACAGACAAAATTTCTAAATATTATTATTTTGGCATCTGTTGGTCTTATTAAGACCCATCACATAAATTTTCTTAAGTATTTTCCATAAACAAACGTCGTTTAGTTATAATTCAATTATATTAGTAATAGTAGAAAATAAATCTGTTATGTCCATGGTACTACTTATGTCTATAGGCGACGGTTACCACTTTCCATCAGGAGAGCTTAAAATTTTAATGATTCAATAACGACAAAATTATTTGCTTCGCATTCTTGTTTAATACTAAATTGGAATTACAAATAACACGAGAAACATTTCTCATTAGATTACCAACAGAAAATAGCTCTGGTATCTCGAGCGGACCTATAGAGGTCGTCCGAAAAACCTTCCTAGCGGACTAAGATGGATTGTTGGAATTAGTCAGCTGAGTTTTTCTCGTTCCTGTCTCCAACCATTTGCCAAAGTACGCCACTTTTAATGTGAATAGATAATAGAACAATTGATGCGCTCAACGTTTTTTGCGGCGCCCGAGCAATTTGTCAGCTCTGAAATGTGTAATTTGCAAGAATTTGACTAATAGGCATAATTGTCTTCATAGAAAAAGTTGCAAGTGAGAAACGACCTGTCTCTTTAATCAAATTTAGCTATGGAAACTTAATTGCCTGTAAGAGTAATAGCGCTTGGTTAAGTTAATCGCCGGATTACTTTAAAATTTTTAGTTTCTTCTTTTCATTTAAGAGTTTCCTCTTGTCGATGCAAATTTTTAGTTGTGTAACTTATTTTTTGAAATATTTAACACTACTTTTTTATCCAAGTCGTGCTGGAAATGAAGTCTACATCCCAGTTTAACTTCTATCTCACCCTTCAAGTCGAAACCACAGTCACGCAAACACAATTGCTTCGCGGTAGACTCGGTTTCATTTATATTCAATCGATTTCAAAAAAGGAGGGGCTTTTGTTACGGTTGTATTTTCGTTACGTTTATTACCTCAGAACTCCGTCATTTAAAAACAAATTTGGAATTTTTTCACCGACTTCACAAAGAGGGGGGGGGATTTCTATGTTCGACTGTACAAATTTTTTTTTAAATGTGTATATTTTAAAGGATGTATGTTGAAATTGATTCCAAAGCAATTTCAAAATAACTGGTTTTTAAATCAAAATAACTAGTTAAGATTGAAGCCGGTTTTTTTTTGTAGAGCAAAATTTACTTGGCAATATTTATTCTTCTTTCTGCTCAGTGGCAATACACATTAATTACTCAACATTAGTTCTAAAAGTGCCACAGATGCCATCAAATTACTCCAGATTATAAGAAAATGGAGCCAGTGAACGCAGGTGGCTCAGAACCGTTTCTTATGGTAGTCTATTGTAGAGGCCTATGTTCAGCAGTGGTCAGATAACGACTGTATAATGATGATCATGATAAGAATATGAAGGAATGAATATATTAAAGAATCTCTGCCTTAAATAACACCTATTACCTTCTGTAATGTCATGAGAAAATTCCATCTGTCTCATTTCCACAAGACTTCTATAAATCTGCATAACTTACGAGTTGTACGATACTGGTACCGAGCTAGTAGACTTAAACTACCATTTTACATGTAAATTTCACTTACTGCAACCGTTTGCACGGCGTACATTACCGTTTTATTGCGTTACCTTGTTAATGTAAAGCTAAGGAGACTAGCAGCGTATAATGGGCCATCTAAACTTACGTATACAAAAGCTAGATACTAAAATTGGGGATATATTGTTGTGAAGCATGTGGAACATGTATTGACGACTGCCCAAAAAGGATTGTAATGTTTTCAGGGTTCATGTATTTCACCATAGCTTCTGAATTCTTGGGCAGATTTGGATTTTTTTATACAACTTAGAATGGCAAACAAGCTGAGTGCCCAACTGATTGAAAGTGGTAACCATCGCCTATAGACATGAGCAATACCATGGACATAACAGAGTATGCTGTTTTGTCCATGATATTTCCCATGCATTGCCATTCCTGAAAACTCAGATGTTATTCCTCTGTAACCTGTAAATTCACTGCGATATCCCACCCTTCAAACCGAAACACAGCCATTCAAATACAACTGTTTCACCTAAATACACGAATGGGACAGAGATTTTAGCACACACAAAATAAGGTATATATGCTCACGGCTATAATCCTTAATGGAATAGTCGAAGACTTTAGTCAATTGTTGCGATTGTGATAAACGTAACAGTCGACATGCCCGTAGTTTGTAGAGCTTAGAATCCAACTTGGTTGAGGGCGAGCTTACCGCCGTGTTCGTATTAATTTGTGCTATAGTGCACACCCATATAAGACGTTAAGACGTAAGTTTTAATTTTATAATGCTCTTCTCTCCGTCACTGGAGGATGACTGTCAGTTTCAAATTCCTAAAATCTTTGATTTACCAGTCAATATAGTTACCCAGCACCGGCAATCCTGGACTATTCCCGTATGTTCCTCAGCCGTAACTTTTACGTTCTTGACGTGTCTCTTACTATCTACTATGCCCACCAATATAAGTTGAAGCAGCTGATATCTATAATGTCATAACACGTTCCCTAAAAAATTCATCCTTACGACTTTTAACAGTTTGTATCAATTTTCTCGGCATTGCCATTGTGGTTCAATAAACTTTTTCATCGCTGACTTTGTGTGTGCAGATGTGTGTATAATATTATTGCAACTTGAGCCTTGTTCGTTGGACACATCGCCCGTGTGTACTCCAGCAAAATCGCTGCACTCCGAATAGTTAACGTCGTCGCCATATTTGAATAACTTGCAAATTATGCTGCTCGGCCATACCTCCACGCATTGTTTCCAACCTTTTGGCTCTTTCAAACTTGAGCGTGCTAAATTTTACAGTTCACTAACGAAACTTTGGCCGTAAAATTTCTGCGGCTTTCGCTAGTGTTCCGATCTATACAATTATGTTATTACAAGTTTTCACACGCGACTTCGTCCGTGCTACTAGGATGTGTTTACTCACCGGAACAAAAAGTTGTCTATTGCCTATGTCTATGCCATTTTCCATCCTAAACAGTACGTGTATACCAAATTTTTTAGCGAATGGTTTAAGTAAGTTTACTAGTTTATTACCAATAAACAAACTCGCTTTCACATTTATAATATTATTAGTAGGCATGTGTTATTATGAATAATATAAATACATTCAGTTTGTGTTTCGGTGCATCTTGTTTTAATTGTTTTTGGGGTTTTGTACATTAAATACCTTTATAGTGCGAATTTGTCAGTTTGTCCGATTGTCACTCAGCAATTATAATGTTATTTATTTAAAATTTTAAACACTATTACAGTACAGTTATTTTCTTTTATTATTAGTTATTTTTATTTTATTATTTCTGTTTTTTTTTTATTATTTTTTAAATTTCTAGAAAAGTCACATCTTCCCTCTTAAGAAGAAGAGATGGCAAACTAACCCCCGGCAGAAGCACAGTTGGCCGGGGTTATTTATTTTTACAACATTTCGAATTATGATAAAAAAAATGCGAAAAGAAAATAAAAATACCA